TTTTGTCGCGATTAGGCCCGGTAGGGACCGGTTAAGGCCCGGCCCGAGACCGAATTTTGGCCACCTCTACTTGAGCCTATAAGAGTTCGAGTAAATAGCCACTTACTACTAATGTTTCAAATCTAATGATTTAAAGGTCGAGAGTCTTACCCAGTAATAAGCATAATAAAAACCAAGAGTCTTACCCAGTAAAAACATTATAAGGATCGAGAGTCTTACTGGATGAGAAAAAAAACTCTTAACTGGTAAGCGCTTGTTGATGGCTAAGAATGTGTAAATGAGAGTAATTTCTTTTGCCGTGTAAGTGAGAGTTTAATTTCTTTTGTTGGTAAACATTTGGTAAAACGGCCCCCTTAGTCGAACCTTAATAGGTTCTTTGGTGCAATATAAATCCAAAACATTGGTTTTAGTGGATTCTAAAGGTTTGACGATTGAAATCGAAATAAGAAAACGATCGTACAATTAACCAGCCGTTTCTTTCTTCGATACAAGTAGGTCATACATTTGTGGACCCCACTCACGATTTCTTGGCTAAAATGAGGCAGAACTTTACAATAAAAAGGTCAAAAAAAATGAAGGAAGAAATGAGGATGTGGTGAAATATCTCATCTGCCTAGGGTTTGATTTCAACAATTATGGACACCAAGTTTATCGACATTGACTTCTTGCAGTCACAGAACTGGTCTACGCATAGCCAGCCTGGGACACCCTTTCAGGAAAAATAAGGAAGAAGTGAGTTTTGGCCACCTCTGACACCATCTAAGAGAAAGTTAACCATCCATTTTGTACCAAATTGGTCTCTCGTATAAACAGTACTCGTACATATAGAATACAATTTGCTTACAAATTTCTTCAAAACCCTAGAAACAAAATCATCTCACTTGAATATAAGCAGCAAAACTTACACAGATAGTACTCATAAAACTTTGACGTTTACATGATCTAATCATCGTCGTCTGATGAACTATCTTCTTGTCTTCCAAAATCGTCAGTTGCATCCTACACACATCCATAACAATTCCAGATTTAGTACCCACCTGTTGCTTCTCAAACCATTATACTTTGACTTCTCCCCAACAAAACAAAACTCAATATATCCCACTCTAAAGCAGCTCCAACCCAGAGGGTGTGAGCAAAAAACAGACACTAGAGGAGACAGAAATGTAAGTGAAGAAAAACATTATAACCCCTCCGTCCCAAAATTAGTATCCACGTTGCAATTCCACTCTCAAGGGTGTTTGGTTAGAGGTATTAGGCAGTAATCGATGAGAAATTTTATATAATATAATGTGCTCATTCCCCATAAGCCCAAATCTTCATTCCAGGTTAAACTCAAAGGGAATGAAAATGTTATTTCCATTTTCATTCCAGCCTGAACAAAAACAGCACCTTGATTATGAGATGAAGAAAATTATTAATCCTCCCACTGTTATTAAGGGTAAAATTGTCATTTAGTTGATTAAAAAGAGTAATAATTACACATTCTAAAACCGTTTGCCATTTTAATTCTAGACAATTATTTTGGGGCGAACAAGCAATTTTAGACATAATCTAAGTGCAAAATAAAAACCAAACCAGACACCTTTTTTCCAAAGTTTCATCGAAAGAAAAGTTCAGATAAAAAAGAAAATAGAAGAGGGAGAGAGTTCTTACAGCTGCCTTATCCCAGTCCTTTAACTTTGCAGTCGTCAACATATAGTTATCGCGTAAAGGAGCCCAAGCAGGACCTTCTCCATCGCCCCCACTTGCAACCTGTATCGTAAACCAAAGGTACAAGAATTAAGCAGCCTGGACAACCAAATTCCACTGAAAAGTTTACATTTTGTGTTACGAATGAGAATGATCCTAGTCTTGACCCAACTAGTGGACTTAAGCCCAATGTGTGGAAAGTATATTCCAGGAGGCCCAAGGCCCACTAAGTGTTGTTACGTATGATAGTTTAAATAAGCTATTGCCTTCCTCCATGAGGGGCATGCAGATAA